CTGACATCCCCTGTCCTGAGGCCCCTCCCAGCCCTGACATCCCCTGTTCTGAGGCCCTCCCAGCCCTGACATTCCCTGTTCTAAGGCCCCTCCCAGCTTTGTACATCCCCTGTTCTAAGGCGCCTCCCAATCCTGACATTTCCTGTTCTAAGACCCCTCCCAGCCCTGACATTCCCTGTTCTAAGGCCCCTCCCAGCTTTGTACATCCCCTGTTCTAAGGCCCCTCCCAATCCTGACATTCCCTGTTCTAAGACCCCTCCCAGCCCTGACATTCCCTGTTCTAAGGCCCCTCCCAGCTTTGTACATCCCCTGTTCTAAGGCCCCTCCCAGCCCTGACATTCCCTGTTCTAAGACCCCTCCCAGCCCTGACATTCTCTCTTCTAAGGTCCCTCCCAGCCCTGACATTCCCCCCCACTACTCCCCCGCCCCAGCCCTGACCCTCCAGGTCTTTGTCTGTCTGCAAATACCAAAATTATTTGCTTTCTCTGGGCTTCAGGACTGATTCCTGGACAGATGAGACAAGGCTGCTTTCTGAGCCTGTGGTTTCTTTTCTCCTACAAATTTCTTCCCTTAAGTAAACATGTCTGCTTCCCTTTTCCTGACTGAATGTGGTTTTTTTCCCCCCTCCCTTCTCTTTGACAGAGCCTTCTATTGACCAGCCAAAAGTTCCCTGGATTGAAGGCCAGCGGAGGGAAATCATTGATTCTCCAACATCCCCTCGGAGGGGAAAGTAAATTGGGAAAGGTATTGTGTGCCTCTGGTTAATTACCCAGCATGGTCCCGGTCCAGCACGGCCCCTCCCTTCCGTGGCTCGGGCCCTGGACACCACAGTCATGCTCACTCCTCCTCAGCTGCCCCGGGCTCCAGACAACAGCTCCCCTGGAATTCATTAGTCTGTGCTACCAGGAGCCCTGCAGTGAATGCCTGGGGTCCTTACTGTTCTAACTCCAGGAGTAAACAAGCCCTCTCCGACCCAGGGAAGGTTTGGGGATGGGGCCGCAGATTGGGGGCAAGCTGTTTCCTCTGGCCTGAGAAAGCCCACCGGGCATTCGGATGTGGAGCCAGCCCCCCTCGGCTGCTTGGGGTGTGAGCGGGGGTGGGGGTGTCAGTGGGAAACCCACAAACGGCCACATGTTTGAGGGCCAGATCCAGGGATGCAGGCACGGGCCAGGTAAAAGGATGAGGGCATCCTTACCGGGCACAGGCCCCTGTGTGTTGGTGGGGAACCCATAGGGGGAGTGTAGACAAATCCAATTTTAAGGTGTTTCGGGAAAATTCACTTTCTGTAATTGAAAGCTGGGGGGTTCAAAGTCATGCTGAGACAGATGATGTGGGGACATGTTGGTAGAGGTGTTGCTCATAGCTTCTCGTGGGAAACTTGGCATAGTGTTGTCTTGGGGGGAAGGTCCCGTGGTCTGGGGAAACCTTTACTAGAGAGACTCCCTCACAGCTAGGGCCTTTACTAGCCAAATCCTTGAATGGAGTCAAGAAAAATGCAGTTCTTTCCAAGAAATATCTATTAAACACCTCCTCTGTTTGAGGCGTGAGAGTCCTTGGGCATGTGAAGAGATGATGATGGAGGGCCTTCCCTCAGGAGGCTTCAATTCTATTGGGAGAATACAGCACTGATCCTGGTACCTGGATGGAATGGACGTGTACGGAATCATTTCAAGAGGGAGGGTGCTAGTCTTTGAGGGCATTGTTTGTAGAAGGGGCCGCCTGGGCACCTGTTTGGAAGGGAACGAGGGATTCTGTAAGGGGAGGTGGGACGGCAGTCACCCTTTGTTCTGAATTCTTCTCTGAAGACAACGATGTGGGATGAATGTTGAGACTCCCAGGTGGCCATCTTGATGTCACGGTTCCTGCCCTGTGAATCACTGACCTCAAGAAAATCCCCGGCTTCCTTTAAGGCTCAGCTCAGTGACCCTGGAGGCCTCTCCTGATTCCCCTTTCCAAGGGCTAGTGCCGTCTTCCTCCTCAAATGACCTTGTACTTCTTCGACCACCTCGTCCTCCGACAGACTATAAGCTCCTTGGAGACAGGCACCATTTTCCTTTTGTCTTTGTAATCTGTTATGAAGCCCAGTGCCTTGTGCATAGTAGGTGCTTATTGGTTCACATCGAATCCAATGGCTGAGCCTGGCCGGAGATGAGGCTGCAGGCCAGGGGACAGTGGACAATGGGCAGAGACTCTGGGCAAGGAGTGTTTGTCACCTTCTTTTGGTCCCAGACAGGAGCCAAGGCATCAGTCCACAGGAGTGTGGGAGAACTCAGATGTAGACAAGGGGTGAGTCAGGCCAGGGAGTGGAAGTGCAGATAAAGGAGACTTTCAACAGGCCAGATATCCAATATCCAGCAAACTCTCAGGTCCCTCACCGTGCAATGTGAGCTCCTGGCTTTTCAACATCGTTGTTGCTTACTTTGAGCTGATTCATTGATACGTCTCAATGGCCATTGAGGAGAGGCCGAGGTCAGGGCCTGGGGAAAGGCTTTATCTTTCTCCACTGTAGCCTGAAAAATGCTGTGAGTATCAGCAGGTGCTGACGATCGCCCTCAGAGGCCAAGGTCACGTCATGAGCAAAGCCTGAAAAATGCTACAAGAATCAGCCGGTGCTGATGATCACTCTCAGAGGCCAAGGTTGGGGCCCAAAGAAAAAATCCTTAGGTTTTCTTGGCATAACATAAAAAATGCCAAATAGCCCGTCAGGGAAAGAGGTAAAAGAGACTCTAATGGCCAGTCTCCTTGTTTTCAGTTTATTGGATTGTAGAATAAAGATTTAATCATGCTTTCCACTTTGGGGACATTACTGCTGTGGTGATGGTCTTCCTAATGCCGAGAGTCGTAATGTTGGTTCATATAGCAAAGCAGAATACCGCAATACCACTAATAAACCTGATCTCTGGCCTTCTGCTGTCCCAATTCAAGGTCTGGGTAATTTTGCCCAAGGGCCTGTGCCCAAGAAGCATCTTGTCCAGTCCAGCCAAGTTGCTGGAGTCAACTCTGGGACCTTGAGGAAGGCCCAGAAATCTTCTTTATTTCATGAAGCCTTTTTTCAGGGGTGAGGGGATGATTAGGAAATGGGTTTATTTCCCTGCAACTGACACCTTTCAGAGGAGGGATAGATTGGTGGGGCTTGCCCTTTCACATTAACATCCTTCACAATTATATTACTCCCCTACACACACTGGGGTTTCTTTCAGAAGGTGATCAGTGGATTCTTTCTATTTTCTCTTTGCCTTCTGGGTCTAAAAGATCTTAGCAGTTTTCTTTTAAGATGTCTTGAAATGTGATTTCTAGGTTCTTTTTTTGTCATATTATTCAGGTAGTCTAAGGATTCTTAAAAATTTTTTTTCTCCCTGAAATCTAATTTCAGATCAGTCATTTTTGCAAGGTTACATTTTCTTCTAATTTTTTCTGTCTTCTGAGTTTGTTTTTCTGAAATATATCTTTTTATTTCATTAAATATTTCCCAATTGCATTTTAACATTTTTTAAATATTAATTTTTTTAAAAAAAATTTGAGTTCCAAAGTCTTTTCTTCTTAACCCTTCCCCACCCCCAGAATAGGCAAGCAATATGATATCAATTATACATGTGAAGTCATTTTGCAGAAGAAACATACACAGAAGCAAGTAACATAAAGAAAGTGAAAAGCAATAGGCTTCAATCTGCACTCAGAATTGAAAAGTTCTCTCTCTGGAGATGGAGAGCATTTTTCATCCTGAGTCCTTTGGAACTGTCATGGATCGTTGTCTTGATCAGAGTAGCTAAATCTTTCTTTTGACATTGTTTTAATACCTACTGTTTCCTTATGGAGTCATTGACTTCTATTTGGTCTATTCTAATTTTTAGGGAGTACACTGCTTGACCAAAAGTTTGTACCTCTTATTCCAAACTGTGAGTTCTCTTAATTCTTTCTTCCACAGCTCTCATTTCTTTTCCAATTTTTTTCCCTCAAGCACTCTCATTTCATTTATAAAACATTTTCAGCTCTTTTTAAAACTCTTGCTTTATTTCTTCCTGGAATTCTAGTTGAAAAGTGCCCAATCTGAGTTTTTCTTTGAGGTTTCACCATAGATCTTTTGGAGTCATTCATTCTCTTCTAGGTTTGTATCTTCAGCATCCTTGTCACCATGATAGCTTTTCCTGGTGGGATTCTTTTTGTTTGCTCATTCTTCCAGCTTACTTACTGACTTTGGACTTGATGTTAGGGCTGGGTTCTATGTACTTCTGGAGGGAAGGTATTGTCTGGAATTGCTACTGCTTTCTTGGGGTAGGGAGTGTTATGTTACTGCAGGCTGTCAGGGACAGGCTGAGGACCTGTCTGCTCCAGGACAGAGTCTGATCACTCTTCTCCTGGTCTGAGCTTTTCAAGTTCCTGATATGGTTTGGGTCTGAGCAAGAGTGGACTGAGGCTGGACTGAGCTACTAGGAGCCAGCTTGGGGGCTCTCTTGGTTCAGAGGGACAGAACTGTAGACTCCTCTTTAGTCTGGGATCCCTGCCCTAATAATTCCTGTGGGTGCTTCAGACCGCATTGGAGGCTGGAACAGAGACGTCGCTCTGCTGCTGGGGTCCTAGTCACAAAGTTTTTACTTGCTCCTGAACTCAGTCTTTTCTCTTTACACCACCTAGGGCCTGTGGCTGGTCCTTCACCAGGAGCAGTATCCCCCTGGGGTCAGATCTGCCCTGGACCTGTCACCTAGAACTGGGTAGTCAGCGACAAAGCTGCCAGCTGGTACCGGTCATAGCATCCTTTACCAGGTCAAGGTGCCCCAGTGTGAGTCTGAGGGTGTCCCAGCATGGGTTGGAGACCTCCTTTTGCCACAGACACAGCCTCTTCCTGGTTCCCTGGCATGCTCTGCATGGTGGACTCCTGGTCAGACCCTCCTCCAGGTTTGCAGCCTTCTCTAATCAACTCCTTTGCCAACCTAGGCAGGGAAAATGGCTCACTGTGTGACTTTCTCTTGGGTTTCCCCATCGGGACTTGGGCTGGTATGCTTTCTTGATCTGTTTGGAGTTTTTCTTTGGGACAGAGAATGGGCTGTACTTCTGTTATTCTGACATCTTCTCTCCATCCATCCCTGTGGACACTACAATCCCATCCAGACTGACCTAGCAGCCATTCCCTGACCTTGACCTTCCATCTCCTTCTCCGTCCTTGGCATAGCCTGCCCAACGTGCCTGGAGCATCCTCCCTCTGAATCCCTAACTTCTTCATGTCTCAGCCCACTGGTGTCTCCCACAAGAAGCCAGCCCTGCCAAGCCCCCACTCTTAGCGCTTACTCCCCTCAAATTGGCTGGTGTTGCCTTATCTGGGCACCCGCTGTTTGAAAGAGCAGTGTTAGCTCCTCAAGGGCAGAGACTATTGGACTGTTGGCTTTGTGTCTCTGGAAGTGGCCCAGTCTTGCATTTCTACGATGTCTTGAGGTTTGCAAAGCGCTTTACAAATATTACCTCACTTAAGCCTTACAGCAGCCCAGTGAGGCAAGTGCTGTTATTACCCCCATTTGACAGACAGAGAAACTGAGGCAGACAGCCAGAGGTTCAGTGAACTTTCCAGGGTCACCCTGCTAGTCAAGCATCTGAGACAGGATTCAGACTTGAGTTTTTCTGGCTCTGTTCTGTGCTGTCTCCATGGACAAGCTAGGAAGCAACGTATGATAGTGGAAACCTGGCTGGATGCATGACCTTGAACAAGACCCTTCCCCTCTCTGAAGCCCAATCTCCTCCTCCATAAAATGAGG